GGGGGGGGGGAAGGTTTTGTCATTTGCCTTTACAAACTCGGTGTGGAAGGGGTGTGTCTGTCTTCAAATCCTTGGAGGCTGCTCTGAGAAAATGGACAATCAAGGGATGAAACAGTGTTTCCCCACTGTAGAAATATTTTGTTCCAGAAAGTAGGTGATAAAAAGGAAAATAAACTCAGTAGAGTGAGGAACCTTCTTTTATTGCCTGAACCCCAGTCACATTATATTTTGTTACAGTTTAGAAGGCAGTAGCAGAGAGGGAGGTTTTAGGCAGAAACTTAAATCAAGAGTTGAGTAGTTTTGAGTTTAAAGTTGGTTAAAAGTAGGGAAAAAAAATCAATATTCTGGATATGATGACAATATTCTCCAGACAAGCATGCTTATAAAAGTAAGCTAATGGGACTGAGTGCTTTTAAATTGGTGGAAAGCAGGTCATGGTGAAAGCAAAGGCTGGCACCGTTTCTATACTATTATCAGTTTCCATGCTTACAGGACACAATAGTAAAGTGGGAATCTGGGAACCTGTAAATCTTTCACTGGTTCTTAGTAGAACAGTTGATGTAAAAAATATCTTTCTCACTTTGCAATAACTCTTGATGGGAACAAAGAATGAAGGGGGAAAACAGCAAGCCAGTGAAGGTTTGCTCTGGCTCAAATGAGGACATATTTGATGCCAAAAAGTATCTTTGCAGCAGCACACTAGGTTCAGTCAACTAAAGCCTTTGACTCTTAAAATATGTATCCTAAAACATGCATGATCTTATATTTAAACTATAAACTTTAATAAAGAAACCACTGCAAACAACCAAAACCTCTCCAAACTCATCTTTCTTTTATAGAGGAAAGTACCAAGTACAGAATAACTGAGGATGTGTTCCATTGTAGGTGTACAGGAGGGTAAGCAGTCTGTTAAGATATTGGGAAAAATTTGCCTCTTTAGTAAAGAGAATCCACAGTAAAGGTGGAGAGGGCTGAGATACAGGTTAAAAAGGACATATATGACAAATTAGGATGTGTTATCTTCCTTGCATCTAGTTTTTCCATGAAGGAAAAGATCTTCCAAACTTAAGGGAAAGGCTTTCTGCTTAAACTTTTTAAAGCACAATAAATCCAATCCTATATAGTAGCCTAAAAAGAGACACAGGATTTTGGGAGTGAAGGCATCAAAAAAGTAAAAATGAAAAAAGAGTGAAGTTTCTGTATGGAATTAAAAACCAACCAACCAACAAAACAAACAGTAGACCTTTCAGATCATGTCATGGCTACAGTCCATGGTTTCAATTTTTATGTACAAACATGTTTGTTCCTTTTATGCTTAGTTATGCTAGATGCAGAGTGTGTTCAGTTCCCACTGAATTCCACAGGTGTTGAAGGTGCTCAACACATCATGAGAGACTGGGCTCTCATATTTTAAACTTCTAAGATACCACGAAAAAAAGCATCTGTCTCATCAGAAATGTGTGATTTGGTAGTTAAAGCACCTATCACTGAAATGACTCTGGCCTGACCCTGCTGGATGGCCTTTCCTCCTGAAGTTCTGCTTAGCTCCACACCAGGATACAGTATTGCAGTGAAATGCAACTTTCAAAGTGAGGAAAGCTGTCAGATTGAAACAGAGCAGATTAAGGCCTCAGATGAACCTCTGAAGTTTCTTTTGGAACAATGTATAGGATCTGTTAATTTATATCACTCATTGAAACGTGAACGTTTTTGTGTGGGCAGGTGAGGAAAAGAGACTCAGCCTTCATCCAATATGGGTAATATGGGATCACCACCTTCCTACACACATTTATCAGTGCTGAGGATGTGTTTGGCACAGGTGGCTGGAAGGTGAGGAAATACCTGGCATTCGGAATGTTTTCCAAATGTCAGTGTTTGGGATAAATGAGATGAATCACCGGAAAGGAAGTAAGTAACTAGACAGGACTTCCCATGGGATTTTGCTTACTGCTGGTCTCACAAGAACCTCGTACGTGCAGAATGTGCTTGGGCAGATCAGAAACGAGGGCAGCATGAGTGCCTGGATAATCACTCATGGGCATGGTGGTGCTGAACTGCAAGAGCCTGTGGCATGACACCGCCTCTGCCTGCTCTCCTTTTAAGCCACTTTAGAAAGATCTGGTTCCCCTAATGCATTTTTCAGAGGTGGGTGGGGGGTTTATTGCCCTAGGTGGACTGATTTTCATCACATCTTATCTCAGCTGAGACCTGATGAGGTACTGTTTGTATTCACCCTATGTGTATAAAAGCATGAGTCGCAATTAGCATCTTCATGCAAAACGTAAGGTTTGGTATCCAAGAGCACATTTGCACTGAAACTTATGCCTGGCTAGCTCATCTGGGAAAGAACATTTTATCCTTCACTGAAATAATAATAATTTGGTAATAGTTTAATCAAGCAGAGGAGATTTAATGCATCTGGCTGAAGGGACATTAGTGTTTCCAAAAAGGTCAGACCCATTAACAGCTCAGGGAGGATACAGTCGGAACTGCTTCCTAAGTAACTCAAAGAACAGTGATCCTCAGAGGAACCTGGGGAAAATGCCAGAGGGAATTTGAATGAGTCCCCAAGTGAGCACCAAACAGT